GGACCTGGGTTTGATTCCCAGCACCTACATCTGTAACTCTAGTTCCAGGGGAGCCAACACCCTGTTCTGACCTCTGCAGGCATTGCACAACATGGGTGCACTTCATACTCATACACATAAAAATAATAGTTTTTTTTAAAGAGGATTAATAGCAATGCACTCACAACTATTCAGGTTGGCACCACCGAGTCAAAATATTCTTATGAATGATGAATTAAAAGTATAATTAGTCTGAAATAAAATTTCATAGGATTTACTCAAAAAGCTAGGTAGAATAAATTTAATTGTATGTATGGCGGGAGCAGATGTCAAAGCACAAAATGAGAAACAGGCAGTGAGCTAGAAAGTAGAAAAAAATCAATCTTTGGAGCTGGGCATGGTGGGACACGCCTGAGTTTCCAGCACTCAGGAGGCAGAGGCAGGAGGATAAGGAGTTCCAGGCCATTTCAGTTACATAGCAAGTTCAAAGTCAATTTGTGCTACATGAGACCTTGTCACAAACAAATACAATAGATAAAACAGTATCACTCAGTGGCTCATAATTAAGAACCTAAAGCTGCTGAGATGGTTCAGCAAGAAAAGGCAAGTGCTGCTAAGCCTGACAACCTGGGTTCAAACCCAGACCCCACAGAGTAGGAGACAGAACCAACCCCCAAGTTACGCTCTGCTGTTCATACGTGCACCATGATGCACACCCACACACAGAGACGGGGGAGGGGAGTAAAATATAATAATTTTAGAAAGAAACTAAGGTCTGGGGACAGGTATCCTCCATCGGTAAAGTGCTGGCCTCATAAGCACAAAACTCAAGTTTGATCCCGAGAGCCCATGTAAAATGCAGGGCACAGTGATGCAGGCTTGTAATCTGAGCACTGGGGAGAACAGGAGATCCCTGGGGCTTGCTGGCCGAACTGGTGAATTCCAGGCCGATGAGAGATTCTTCCTCGAAGAAGGTGGGAAGTGTTCCTGAGGATGACACCCAAGATTGTCCTCGTATGTCCACATGCATGTGCACACAGAGCACGTGCATATACATACACACACGCATCAAAAAACTAAAAAAGTTGAGGATTTAGGAGATGGAAAAACAGTTCAGTAAAGAGTGCTTAAGTTGTCTGAAGCCCTGGGTTTGATTCCAGCACTGAGAATGCTGAAGAACTAAAGAACTGAAGAACTAAAATAATAAAGGCAAAAGGAATAATGCAATTTATATCTAACCTACGATTTACATTTATAAAGAAACATTAAAATCTTATCAGAATTTCAATTGAAAACTTCAATTAGCAAACTGAATTTAATACAATGTTAATTAGTCCAGCTCAAGCTACTGGCCTTGGAGGACTGCTCTGCTAGTCCTCTGGAGAAAAGGAAGACTGTGATCTTCAGATTTAAGGCAAATCTGTTACATAAATGTGAAAATAATTACTTTTTCATTTATAGTGTACAATAAAAGCCTTATGGCTTTTACAAGATGGTCTTATACAGATATTCTGAAAATCTAAAAAGAATACAGAAAACATTTCCAGTACAACCCTAATCAAAGTTACCTGTGAGAGAGCACTCCCCAGAATAAACTTTTTATCTTGACTAAAGAGCTTCCAGGGCTGGAGAGATGGCTCAACAGTTAAGAGCATGGGTTGCTCTTACAGAGGACCCAGGTTCAATTCCCAACGGCTAACAACGGTCTTTAACTCTAGTTCCAGGAGATCCAATGCCCTCTTCTGACCTCTGTGGGCACTACAAGACACGGGTGCACTTAGCAATATACTCAGGGAAAGAGGGAAGGAGGGAAGGAAGAAAGGAAAGAAAAGAAGGAGCTCAACTTCCAAACTTAGAAGACTAAAGGAAACAATATGCGGGCAATGGCAAACCCCTACGCTGCCTCATTTAGTTCACACCATACTGTGTTCTCTCAGCGTGTTCTTGTCTTTCCTTCACTCCACACATCCAAATCCCAAAGGAGGGATATTGTCCTAGAGATCCTGAGACGGGGCACCACACAGGGGCTCACGCACATTTCTTCTTAAGTTTATAGTTTGGGCCATAAAGCAGCCCAAAACAGGCACACGGAGAGGAAGGTTCTTCAAGATTTCCATTTCCAGCCAGGAAGGTGGTCCCATGTCTCTCATCCTAGCACATGGGAGGCTGGGACATGAGAAGCACTGGGCGCTCATGGTCAGCCTGGAATACATAATGAGTTCAGGGCCAGCCTGGAATACATAATGAGTTCAGGGCCAGCCTGGAATATATAATAAGTTCAGGGCCAGTCTGGGGCAATAGCAAAATCCTGTCTTAAAATAAACAGAAACTTCCACTACAGAGAACAAATGGAAAAACAGGCTAATTGGTCGAAAACTTTAAAAGCGTCACTAGCAGATATCAAGTAAGAATCCCATTTCCATTACTATTTTAGTTGTGTTGTATTAAAAGGCTTCATTATCAGTTTCCAAAGATATTTTTCTTCTTTTCAATCAAATTGATAATAGAGTTGGATTTCAGTTATGCACATCTAGAGGGAAAAGATTCTAAAAAGGTGTGTTGGCCATTTTTAGGTTTTGATATGTCTGTCCATGTCACCAATCAGTAGAGTTCAAAGGTTGTTTACGGACTTGAAGGCTTTTGGGGAGGTGGGGAGGCTGCTGGAGGTGGAGAGCAGAGGAAAAAAGCAAATGAGTAAACACATGGTGACCCTAACCTCCACAGTATACAACCCCAGTTGCCCAAAAGTTTCTTAAGCACATCTCAGGCAATCACACATATGCAAGCTGTTTGTTTTAATCTTTCAAATGGCACCCTTTTTAAAAACCTTTTCTCTCTCTCTCTCTCTCTCTCTCTCTCTCTCTCTCTC